TGTGAAGAAGGAAATAATACAGAAGTATGAGAGTGGTGTGAGACTTGTTGAGCTTGCCAGGATGTATGGGAAAAACAAGTCGACCATCGGTTCTATCCTGTCAAAGAAAGAACAAATCAAGGAAGCTGATGTTGCGAAAGGTGTTAATATAGGGAGTGGATGAGGTGCCTTCTTCAAAGATTAAGGAGATTTGTGCCAAGCGGAATGATGTCCAAATGTTTGTGCAGAAGTACCACCCTGAGCAAGCTGAAACAAGCCATCTTTGCAACAAGTTCAGTGACAGAACCATGTCCCATTTTAGGGAAATGTTAAAGAGGCGCCAGAAACAGAGGACTGTGGACAGTTATTTTGTGAGACAGGGGTCCAGTGACTCTCAAGCTGGTCCTAGTGGCATTAAAAGACAGAGAAGGGAAGTAGCCCCAGAGAGGGCTTTACCTGAAGTCCTCATGGAGGGGGATTCTCCTTCCAAACACTAACCCCAACTCCCTCTCTCCTTCCTATCTTCCAGATGCCATCACCAATCTTAAATAAAGGTAAGTAAAAATGTTATTTTAAATGTATTACTATACATAATTAAAAACTATAGTATTTGTTGTATGTAAAACTGTAATTAATCTCTATAAAATGTATTTTTTGTGTGAATATTTTTGGGTTTCTGGAACGGATTAATTGTATTTCCATTATTTCTTATGGGAAATATTGCGTCGAATTTCAGACTTTTCGAATTTAGAATTAGCTCCTGGAACGGATTAAGTTCGATTTTTGAGGTTCCACTGTACTTTTCATCATGAAAGCAATCAAAATCATGTCTATTTCTGTAATATATCTTCCATTCCATCAAATGAGTCCAAAAAAATGAGAATACAACCATAAAAACCATACGAAAATATACTGCAAAGAGGCGGCTAATGGCCGAGAAGTTAACTCCCTTATTTATCGTCTGTCTTTTTTATTTTTGTTGTACATTAAGAAGCATCTTTCCATCACACATTGCCCAAGTTTCAATGAGATAGCCCAACAAACAACTGAGAAAAAAAAATATTTACCAAAAATCACAGGTACCAAGCCAGGTACTGGATATAAGTCACTTTGTCTGACTTTTCTGGGTTATCCTAGGTTCTCTATACGTACACTGCTATGTATGATAATCTATGTTACTGTATTTGTGTACACCTGAATAAACTTATTTACTTCTAGTCTGTCAACTGAGTACAAGAAACCGCCCATTCACTTATTTCAACAACCCAATAAAGTGGTCAGAAATTGGCAATTTGGCCGATTTCACGCAAATTTCAACAGATCCTAATTTCACACAAATTTCATCAGATGCCAATTTCAAAATAGGATCCAGAATAAGCAATGCAGACATTCCTGGCACTAAAATAACATTTTCTCTGTTCATTAGTCACAGCTACAGGCCCCTCTTATATTACTCTTGCTTTCCATTTGGAATTTTTATTCACAAAAAAATAGAAGATTTACTGTTATGCAGGCTGCTGCATTATTGTAATAATTGTATAAATAATGTCAAGCCATTCTTGACTCCGTACTGGAATTTAGTTTGGCAGGCGTACAGGTATTGGACGGTGACGTCATTTGTTTACTCTTGAGCTTCGCTGAAGAATTGAACATTTTCGCTACTGTGAGCGCAATTTCAAGGTACTTTTCGTCATGAAAGCAATCAAAATCATATCTATTTCTGTAATATATCTTTCATTTTATCAAATGAGACCAAAAAAATGAGAATATAACCATAACAACCATACAAAAATATACCGCTAAGCGGCCGCTAATGGCTGAGAAATGAACTCCGCTATTTATGGTCTGATTTCTCTCATTTTTGGTGTACGTGAAGAAGTATCTTTCCATCATACATTGCCCAAGTTTCAATAAGATTACCTAACAAACAACTGAGAAAATAATATAATAATAATAATAATAATAATAATAATAATAATAATATCTTTATTTACTACACATACATGTACAAGGTATACAGACATAGCTGACATCAGTGACATACTACTGTATAGGAAGCTGCTTGTTATGCAGAGTATTTCAAGAAAATTAGGCCAGTGTCCCAGGATAACACCCACACTAGTCGGCTAACACCCAGGTACCCACTTACTGATGGGTAAATATAGACAATAGGTGTAAAGAAACACGCCTAATGTTTCTACCCTGGCTGGGAATCGAATATTTGCCAAAAATCATATATGGCTAACCCAAGCCAGGTACTAAAAATAAGCCACGTTGACTTTTTTTGGGTTATCCTAGGTTCTCTATACACATGCTGCTATGTGTGATAATCTATATAGAGAAAATAACTTTTGTTTCATGTTTATGGTGCAGTACGAGTGTATATCACAGTTAGCCCTGTGCTATACTCCGTTTTCTCTAATATAAGCCACCAAGACAGGGATAGGAGAATGGTATTTGTATACCATATTCTCTTCATACCTCCGTCGAACTGCTCAGTGTTATGCCAAACATTATTTATTCTGGAGTATTTAACATGTTTTATGTTATTTATATTGTTTCTTATGTCATATTAGATCAATTGTGATAGGCAAATAAGCTGTAGTGTTGATATTAGCGTCATAATAAAGCATATTCTCCTGTATCACACGACAGAGTTCATGGCAACTGACAGTGGCTTCAAAGCCACCTTATCTTTAATGGATAATGTACTGAGTCGGTGCTTTACATAATGAGAAGCATTTCTTTTATTCATTGGAACCATGGCTAGGGCTAAAAGTAAGCAGGTTAAAACAATAAATGGAGAAAAAGAAATGGAATGACTTATGCAGCAAGTAGCACCACCAAACAGTACCAGCAGGTTGGTGTGGTGACCCTGGAAATTTGAAATTATGCTAGCCAAAATTAGTGCCGAATAACTGAAGGAACCGAATAACTGATTGCCAGATTTGTGATGGCGGACCTGTATTTACAAAAGTAATTCAGCACTGTATGACCTGGTGATCTGGTGCTTAGTTTTGATGATAATAATAATGATAATAATAATGATAATAATACAAAAGCAATCTGGTAGCAAAATTCACAGCACTGAGATTGACACACCAGCTCCTGGTCATCATAACTTTAAACCCAACAATAACCTGAAATTTTCTTATAATTTTATTGTTTTCTAATATTTTTGGGATAGTGTGCATTCATATTATGGTGGATGTTACTCTGGGCTTATTTATATAGTAAAAAATCTTATGGCTGGCAATATATGGCATTTTTACTGATGTTTGTTGGTGATTATGGTTGTAGAGGAGGCAGGTGACAGTTGTAGTAGGTAATATTAGTGGAACTGCCTGTCTTATATTTACACAGGTGCTGTATAGGGTCATTTCAACCTTCTCCACACATTTCCAAATCAAGAAGCAACAACAACTATAATGTAATGAATAGAAAACTTGACTATTTATGAGTTTTGATGAATTACAAAGGTTAAAGAAATGAGTTGGCATTTTTGGGAATGTATTGAACATAACCCTATTTTTCCCATATGTTCTTCAGTTCAATTTTGACAATATTTTTTTACTAGACACAATTTTCACAATCTTAAGACTTTCACTGTTGGTCCCATAATATTATAGCTTGCAAGCCAGTGTCAGTCCCATAATAATACGCCAAAATTCTAGCGGCTTCCAATCTTGCAAGAGATAGATGGTAAGCTTACACATGAGAGAACTGGTGTGTGTAGTCAGTGTGCGCAATATAAAAAAAAAAAAAATCATGCAGCACGCAGTGCATGAGAAAAAAAGTGTGATAATGTTTTTCATTTAAAACAGCAACTTTGCGATGTATTTTTATAAGGTATTTATGGTTGTATTCTCGTTTTCTTCATCTCAATTGATAGACTGGAAGATACATTACAGAAATAGAGGTTGAGTTCAAAGTAGAGAAAGTGTTCGCCATTCAAGAGTAAACAAATCATGTCACGGGTCCAATACATGTCAACTGGTGGGTCTAATATGCTTTCACAAATGCGCTGCTATTATTTACATCATTTTTACAATAATGCACTTGGAAAGCAAGTGTAATAATGCACTTGGAAAGCAAGTGTAATAATGCACTTGGAAAGCAAGTGTAATATAAGGGCCTGAAGATGTGACTAATGAACAGAGAAAATGTTATTTTAGCACAAGGAATGTTAATTCTGAACCCTATTTTGAAATTGGCCTTCCTTGAATTTTGTATGAAATTGGCCAAATTACCAATTTCTGATCACTCAACTGGGTAGTTGAAATAAGTAAATGGGCAGTTTCTTGTACTCATTCAACAGAACAAAAGGTGTTCTAATGAAATAGCTATGAGTTTGGTTGACTGAAAAACTGGAATTGGCTGAAAATATCCCTCTAAGTGGGTAAAATCACGATGCATAAATATCGCCAAGACTGCTAACTTGGCGAGAGCGTAATTCCATAAGTTTCCCATCAAATTTCGTACTTTTAGTTTCATTATCATCGGTTAAAGATTATCATTTCATTTTTTTTTTTTTTTAAATTCATTGACACTGAGAAGAAGTTTGCAAGCAGGGGTCTCGACAGTGAAAGGGTTAATAACAGTCACAATGGACTGTCAAGTGAATATCACCGTGGTTGTTTAATATATTTATAGATGGGGTTGTAAGAGAAGTAAATGCGAGGGTCTTGGCAAGAGGCGTGGAGTTAAAAGATAAAGAATCACACACAAAGTGGGAGTTGTCACAGCTGCTCTTTGCTGATGACACTGTGCTCTTGGGAGATTCTGAAGAGAAGTTGCAGAGATTGGTGGATGAATTTGGTAGGGTGTGCAAAAGAAGAAAATTAAAGGTGAATACAGGAAAGAGTAAGGTTATGAGGATAACAAAAAGATTAGGTGATGAAAGATTGAATATCAGATTGGAGGGAGAGAGTATGGAGGAGGTGAACGTATTCAGATATTTGGGAGTGGACGTGTCAGCGGATGGGTCTATGAAAGATGAGGTGAATCATAGAATTGATGAGGGAAAAAAGAGTGAGTGGTGCACTTAGGAGTCTGTGGAGACAAAGAACTTTGTCCTTGGAGGCAAAGAGGGGAATGTATGAGAGTATAGTTTTACCAACGCTCTTATATGGGTGTGAAGCGTGGGTGATGAATGTTGCAGCGAGGAGAAGGCTGGAGGCAGTGGAGATGTCATGTCTGAGGGCAATGTGTGGTGTGAATATAATGCAGAGAATTCGTAGTTTGGAAGTTAGGAGGAGGTGTGGGATTACCAAAACTGTTGTCCAGAGGGCTGAGGAAGGGTTGTTGAGGTGGTTCGGACATGTAGAGAGAATGGAGCGAAACAGAATGACTTCAAGAGTGTATCAGTCTGTAGTGGAAGGAAGGCGGGGTAGGGGTCGGCCTAGGAAGGGTTGGAGGGAGGGGGTAAAGGAGGTTTTGTGTGCGAGGGGCTTGGACTTCCAGCAGGCATGCGTGAGCGTGTTTGATAGGAGTGAATGGAGACAAATGGTTTTTAATACTTGACGTGCTGTTGGAGTGTGAGCAAAGTAACATTTATGAAGGGATTCAGGGAAACCGGCAGGCCGGACTTGAGTCCTGGAGATGGGAAGTACAGTGCCTGCACTCTGAAGGAGGGGTGTTAATGTTGCAGTTTAAAAACTGTAGTGTAAAGCACCCTTCTGGCAAGACAGTGATGGAGTGAATGATGGTGAAAGTTTTTCTTTTTCGGGCCACCCTGCCTTGGTGGGAATCGGCCGGTGTGATAATAAAAAATAAAATATTTCAGTCATGTTGCTGAACACTGATAGGGCTCTCTCCATTATGAATTCTCATATGACTTACTAAATTGGATTTATCTGAAAAATTTTTAAGACACACTGAACACTGATATGGTTTCTCACCAGTATGAATTCTCATGTGAGTTATTAAATTAGATTTAGCTGAAAATACTTTTAGACACTCCGAACAATGATATGGTTTTTCTCCAGTATGAATTCTCATGTGTTTTATTAATGACGAGTTTTGAGAAAACTCTTTTAAACACTCTGAACACTGATACGGTTTCTCCCCAGAATGAATTCTAATGTGTTTCATTAAGTCAGACTTTTGAGAAAATTCTTTCAGACACTCTGAACACTTGTACGGCTTCTCTCTAGTATGAATTCTCATGTGTTGTACTAAATAATATTTTTGGGAAAATTCTTTTGGACAAACTGAACATTGATATGGTTTCTCTCCAGTATGGATCCTCATGTGATCTATTAAGTGAGTGTTTTGAGAGAAGTTTTTAAGGCACACTGAACACTGGTATGGTTTCTCTCCGGTATGAATTCTCATGTGTTTCAATAACACAGATCTGAAAGAAAATTTTTTTTGGCACAATGAACACTGGATGGGTTTTTTGCCACTATTACTTCTCCTCAGAGATGCACAATGTGATTTTTGTGAGGAGTGTTGTAGAGACTGAGAATATTGATGTAATTCGTTCTCTGTAGGTGTCATACCTTGTGTTTCCGCGACACCTTCTTTTTTAAGTGTTTTTGACATGGTGGTCAATGACAGAGTAAACCCTCTACATAACAGACTTTTAAAATTATGCGCAAAATCCACTGGTTAAATTGTACTTTTAACTTAACTATTTTTAATGTTTAATTTAGTAAAACTCTGCGTACAGTACTATATTAGGTATACAGTATGTACTGTACTTCTGTAACTTCTGTACACTTAATTGTTATTCTTTACCATTATTTTGATAAAATGGACACTTCCCTATTAGTTCATGATACTGACGATTTACTGTAATGATCTACAGTAAGCATTTCATTACACTAAGAGTCAATATTTCTCTGATACTATGTTGTTATGTTATTATAAACACTGGCATCACTGAACCAAGAAGGTCATACAGTGGCTGGGGAACAGGAGGAGTTGCTCTTATTATTTGAAACAAAAACAGCTGACAGGCAGCAAAGTGCCTGCCATCAAGGTTTCTCTAGTGATGAAAATTAATTTAAATGTCTGTGCCAAAGCATTCTCAACCATCTCATAACAATGTACATTATGAAAAAGTTCTTATTGTAAACATCAGTGATAATGATGTACAGAACAAAATAAGAATGATGAAGACTGTTAAGTGTGAGGTGTAATAGTAACTATGTCACTTACATGAGCACTATTGCCGACACTGTAAATGTTGCGTTTGTAACACTGTAGTTCCATTGTGCTGTCAGTGTATATATATATATATATATATGTCAAACACAACAGTTACACTGTGCAGTCAATATACATATTTCAGTATTTATGACACTTGTTTGAGCTTATTGATGCTGATGTTGACACTACATGTGCCAGCCTCTGGAACCAGGATGACCTGCAAAAAAAAAAAAAAACTTTGTAATATTATGTTAAACTTTGAGGGTCCGTCCCATAGTTCTACGGCTTTGAAGCCAGAGTCCAAGTCAGGGTCCAAGTCAGGGTCCAAGTCAGGGTCCAAGCCAGGGTCCAAGCCAGGGTCCAAGCCAGAGTACTACATCATGAGTTTAGCTCACTCAGGTAAGTTGTGAGTGGTAAATTTGATCCTAGATATGAGAGAATGCATCTATGTGGTAAGTGTGCACCATACAAAACAAATCCAGCAGCATGCAGTGCATGAGAAAAAAAACTGTGACTATGTTTTTGGATTAAAGGAACAACTTTGCAGTGTGGACCCTCGAATTTCATCATCCCTCTTCTATATGTAAAACTACAGTGGACCCCCGCATAGTGATTTTAATCCGTGCAAGAGGACTCATTGTTATGCAAAATGATCGGTATGCGAATGAATTTTCCCCATAAGAAATAATGGAAATCAAATTAATCCGTGCAAAACACCCAAAAGTATGAAAAAAAAAAAATTTCACCACATGAAATGTTAATTTTAATACACACAAACTGAAAAAGGCATGCACAATTACATGACACTTACTTTTATTGAAGATCTGGTGATGACTGATGGGAAGGGAGGAGGAGAGAGAGAGTGTTAGTGTTTAGAAGGGGAATCCCCTTCCATTAAGACTTGAGGTGTCGAGTCCTTTTCTGGGGTTACTTCCCTTCTTCTTTTAATGCCACTAGGACCAGCTTCAGAGTCACTGGACTTCTTTCGCACAACATATCTGTCCATAGTGGTCTGTACCTCTCGTTCCTTTATGACTTCCCTAAAGTGTTTCACAACATTGTCAGTGTAATAATCACCAGCACGGCTTGCAATAGCTGTGTGAGGGTGATTCTCATCCATAAAGGTTTGCACTTTCAGCCACATTGCACAGATTTCCTTAATCTTTGTAGTAGGCAACTTCTTCAATTTCTCTCTCCCCTCCTCTGAACCAGTTTCCTCAGGTATGGCCTCTTGCTGTTGAAGTTGATCTATCAGCTCATCAGTGGTTAGTTCTTCATTGTCCTCCTCCACCAACTCTTCCACATCCTCCCCACTAACCTCCAACCCCAAGGACTTTCCCAATGCCACAATGGATTCCTCAACTGGCATAATCCTCTCAGGGTTAGCCTCAAACCCTTCAAAATCCCTTTTGCCTACACATTCTGGCCACAGTTTCTTCCAAGCAGAGTTCAAGGTCTTCTTAGTCACTCCCTCCCAAGCCTTACCTATAAGGTTTACACAATTGAGGATATTAAAGTGCTCTCTCCAAAACTCTCTTAGAGTCAGTTGAGTTTCTGAGGTCACTACAAAGCACCTTTCAAACAGAGCTTTTGTGTACAGTTTTTTGAAGTTTGCAATAACCTGCTGGTCCATGGGGCTGCAGGAGAGGAGTGGTATTAGGAGGCAAAAACTTCACCTTAATGAATTTCATGTCCCCATAAAGTTGCTCTGCCACGTCTGTAGGATGACCAGGGACATCGTCTAACACCAGGAGGCACTTAAGTTCTAATTTCTTTTCAGTTGGGTAATCTTTCACATTGGGGGCAAATGCATGGTGTAACCAGTCATAGAAAAAGTCCCTAGTGACCCATGCCTTACTGTTTGCCCTCCACAGCACACACAAATTCTCCTTGAGGACATTCTTTTGCCTGAACGGTCTGGGAGTTTCAGAGTGATACACTAATAAAGGCTTAACTTTGCAATCACCACTAGCATTGGAACACATCAACAAAGTAAGCCTGTCTTTCATAGGCTTATGTCCTGGGAGTGCCTTTTCCTCCTCAGTAATGTAGGTCCTGCTTGGCATTTTCTTCCAAAACAGGCCTGTTTCATCACAATTAAACACTTGTTCAGGTTTCAGTCCTTCACTGTCTATGTACTCCTTGAATTCCTGCACATATTTTTCAGCTGCTTTGTGGTCCGAACTGACAGCCTCACCATGCCTTATCACACTATGTATGCCACTACGCTTCTTAAATCTCTCAAACCAACCTTTGCTGGCCTTAAATTCACTCACATCATCACTAGTTGCAGGCATTTTTTTAATTAAATCCTCATGCAACTTCCTAGCCTTTTCGCTTATGATCGCTTGAGAGATGCTATCTCCTGCTAGCTGTTTTTCATTTATCCACACCAATAAGAGTCTCTCAACATCTTCCATCACTTGCGATCTCTGTTTCGAAAACACAGTTAAACCTTTGGCAAGAACAGCTTCCTTGATTGCCTTTCTGTTGCCCACAATAGTAGCGATGGTTGATTGGGGTTTCTTGTACAACCTGGCCAGGTCGGCGACACGCACTCCACTTTCATACTTATCAATGATCTCTTTCTTCATCTCTATAGTAATTCTCACCCTTATTGCTGTAGGGTTGGCACTAAAAGCTTTCTTGGGGCCCATGGTCACTTATTTTGCAGATAAAATCACCGAAAACACTGTAATAATACGAAATGTTCCGATTGTATGCTTGGATGTTACCGCGGAGGCTGGCTGGTAAACAATGCCACTGGTGGCACATGTGAGGCTGGCTAAGGGCGCACATTGGACGCGTCTCGGACGAACAGCAGTGAGCGGGTTTTTGAGTGGTATGCGAGGCAAAATTTTTGCGATAAAAGCGAGCGGTATGCGGATTAAACATTATGTGATGCCAACGGTATGCGGGGGTCCACTGTATAGGTATTCTTTACAAACATGGTTTTACAAAGGGGCGTTCCTGTCTTACGAATTTACTAACTTTTTCACTAAGATGTTTGAGGAGGTAGATCATGGTAATGAATATGATATTGTGTATATGGACTTCAGTAAGGCTTTCGATAGAATTCCACACCAGAGGCTATTGAGGAAACTTAAGGCACACAGAATAGGAGGAGGAATTTTTTCCTGGGTAGAGGCATGGTTGACAAATAGGCAGCAGAGTGTTTGCATAAATGGGGAGAAATCCGAATGGGGGCACGTCACAAGCGGTGTTCCTCAGGGGTCAGTGTTGGGCCCGTTGTTGTTCACAATTTACATAAACGACATAGATGAGGGAATAAATAGCGACATAAGCAAATTTGCTGATGACACCAAAATAAGCTGTGCAATTCATTCTAATGAGGACACTAGAGCACTCCAGGATGATTTGAATAGAGTGATGCAATGGTTGGAGAAGTGGCAGATGCAGTTTAATATTGACAAATGCAAAGTTCTAAATGTTGGACAGGTAATAACCATGCCACATATAAACTAAATAATGTAGATCTTAATGCTACTGATTGCAAAAAGGATTTAGGAGTTCTGGTTACCAGTAATCTAAAACCAAGACAACAGTGCATTAGCGTTCGCAATAAAGCTAACAGAATTCTTGGCTTCATATCTAGAAGTATAAATAATAGAAGTCCTCAGGTTGTTCTTCAACTCTACATATCCTATATATACTATGCTGCTCAGTTCTGGTCACCATATTACAGAATGGATATAAATGCTCTGGAAAATGTACAGAGCAGGATGACAAAGATGATCCCATGTATCAGAAATCTTCCCTATGAGGATAGACTGAGAGCCCTGAATTTGCACTCTCTCGAAAGGCATAGAATTAGGGGGGATATGATCGAGGTGTATAGATGGAAAACAGGAATAAATAAAGGGGATGTAAATAGCGTGCTGAAAATTTCCAGCCAAGACAGGACTCACAGCAATGGTTTCAAGTTGGAAAAAATCAGATTCAGGAAGGATATAGAAAAGCACTGGTTTGGTAATAGAGTTGTGGATGAGTGGAACAAACTCCCGAGTACAGTTATTGAGGCTAAAACATTGTGTAGTTTTAAAAATAGGTTAGATAAATACATGAGTGGGTGTGGGTGGGTGTGAGTTGGACCTGACTAGCTTGTGCTGCTGGGTCTGGTGCCGTGCTCCTTCCTTGAGTGGAGGTGATCAGATTGGATGGGTCACTGGGCTAATCCTGGGGGGAGGGGTCATTGGGCTAATCCGGGGGGGAGGGGACATGGACCTACTCCGCATGGGTCAGTAGGCCTGTTGCAGTGTTCCTTCTTTCTTATGTTCATATAAAATGTACTTTTTGTTAATATTTTTTGGGTGTCTGGAATGGATTAGTTAGATTTACATTATTTCTTAGGGGAAATATTAACAAAAAATACATTTTATAGAGAATAACTATAGTTTTACATACAGAAAAGGGATGATGAAATTCATGGGTCCACTGTATTTTTATATGGTTTAATAGAATGGAAGATATATTACAGAAATAGAGATGATTTTGATTGTTTTTTGTACTGAAAATAGCTTGAAATTGAGTTCAAAGTATCCAAAATGTTTGATTTTTGCCAATGTTCAGGAGTAAACAAATCACATCATGCATCCAATACATGTCAGCTGGTGGGTCTAATGTGTGGTCATGAATGCACTGATATTATTTATACATTTATTACAATATTGCATAACAGTAAATCTTCTATTTTTTGGTGTGAATAAAAATTGTTAACCCTCTGCGGGTTTCGGCCGAACTAGTATGGCTTACGACCCAGGGCTTTTGACGTACTAGTACGCCTAAATTCTAGCGCCCTCAAATCTAGTGGGAGAAAGCTGGTAGGCCTACATATGAAAGAATGGGTCTATGTGGTCAGTGTGCACAGTATAAAAAAAAATCCTGCAGCACACAGTGCATAATGAGAAAAAAAAACATTGACCGTTTTTTTGGAATAAAACAGCAACTTTGCACTGTATTTTCGTATGGTATTTATTGTTGTATTCTAGTTTTCTTGGTCTCATTTTATAGAATGGAAACATATTACAGAAATTGAGATGATTTTTGACTGGTTTTACAAAGAAAAGTACCTTGAAATTGAGCTCAAAGTAGCAGAAATGTTCGATTTTTACTAAAGTTCAAAAGTAAACAAATCATGCCAAGCGTCCAATACACGTCAACTGGTGAGTCTAATATTCTTTTACAAGTGCGCCAATA